TTGTTCCAAAATTTTAAAAAGGCGACACAGGTGACCCAATAACTACAGAGGTATTAATTTAATGAACTGCTTTTATAAATTATTTACATCCATACTAAATAAAAGACTAATTGACTGGTCGGCAACGAATATGGATAAAGAATCAAACTGTTATATATATAAACACTTGATTAGTAACTTCTGTTTACAATATCACTGGGTAAAGCATACTTCAAAAATGTTAAGGAGATGTATTTCTAAAATTCGTTTGTCCTCGCATAATTAATTTTATGGGAAAATAAAATAGTTTATGACAACCAAGTTTAGATATAAGTATTTTATTTTGAATCTGTCATATTGTTTTCAACTCAAGCATCTAGAGTTTGCGCGTAATCTATCACCAGAAATGAAACATGACTCAGTGTCCAATTTGTAAATCATATAAAGATATAGAGGATGAATATCATTTTATACTCATATGCCTTAAGTACGTCGACTTGAGAAAAAATGCTTTAAGAAATACATGTGTGTATCATTCGAGTAACACCTCTGTGTTTAAATTTATACAGATCATGAATGTCCAAAAACTCTGTAACATTGGAAAACATATCTAAAAAGCTTCTGAAATTAGGAACTTTCAATAATTATTATGTATGTTTTATGTGAAATTTGCATGTAAATTGTAGTTGTTACATTTGTAAATCTGTAATGGTATTATTCTTGTTTTATTATCCCTGTAATACAATATCATCATTATTTTTTTTCTTTCATATGCACACACGTGTATTTCCTCTGCAAATATCATTGTACATTTTGTAATATGCCATAGGAGGTATATCCAAAGCAATAAATACATTACAAAAACAATTACAAGCAAGTGTGGAGTCCTTAACGCGTCCGTAGTTGACAGTGTACAAGTTACAGACTAAATGTGAAAGTTGCAACTCGGGAGATAAAAGGGAGGTTTAAAAAATTAGTATTTACACTTTGCCAAATAAAATTCTTATCTTACAATCAGTTAATAATACGATGACTTTGTCCACGAAGCCTGATTGATAAAAAAAAGATGAATACCTGGACACCATTTCTGAAGTTATTGACGTCACAATGGTTTCCCCGATATTTAACAACAGCCTATTGGGGAAACAACTATTTCCTTTTGAATTTCATACAGTACATGTATATACTACGGAAGCCCAAAGTTGAAAACAATAAATAATTAAAGAAAAACTTATTTTAAAAATTTTGTTTTCTTTATTCAGTTATTTCTTTTTTCTTTACATATTAATTTCATTTTTTCTTTATCTAAAAATTTTTTTTTCTTTATACATTAATTTGAATTTTCTTTATTTAATTGTTTAGTTTTTTATATTATAATTTTGCTTTTCTTTACTTAACATTTTTTTCTTTATTAAATAATTTCGTTTTTTCTTTATTTATTTTTGATTTGCACTATTGAGCTTCCGCAGTAAACTGTACATAATTAAGTTGTTTTGAGGTATTTTGATCTAAAACACAAAGCCAAGTCGCCTTCTTTGAAAAGGAATTTGCAAAATATCACAATAAACTTAACAAAGCGCCCACAGACCATTCCTGATTCGATTTAGAATATCTAGATTATTGATTATTGATAACTCTACCTTTCTAAAAATACCTGTATATTCCTTTATAATACTTCTGTATATATGTATGTTTTTTGGGCAAAGCATTTCTCGAAACAGTAAAAAAATATAATTAGCATTGTATATCCTAAATAGCGATTTAATAAAGTAAAGGTACAATATTTACGTTACAAATATTTTAAGTGTATAAATAATGCATACATGTAAAGAAAAAAAAAACACTTTGGTGGAGGTAGTATATCTACATTTCATGTACTAACTAAGGTATTTTGGAAAATTAAGGAACCTAGGTGAATGTAGGCTGTGGCTCTTACGACCAGGCAGACTGTGGCTTAGCTATATATACTACAAGTTGCTGTCCTTTAAAAAAGGACTGCAATACGTGGACCATATGCGTGTTTTTTTTCTGATTGAAATTCAATTTAGAAAATGTCTAGGTGTAGGAAATATTTATGTAAGGTTTGTTCACTTATTCTAAAATTATCTGCCATTTATAACTGATCGTAGTCTCAAAGCACAAATGTGAAATTTTGTCACCGATTAGCGATCTTTTGTTTTGTCAGTTTTAGCATGTTTAAAAAATCGGGTTATTTTGACACGTGTAACACATCAGTATTGGCTGGGACCTGACACCTGTTCTGGATTTATACGGAAGAGATTTAACATGGGAAAAATGGAGATCCGCTGTTTCACGTGTTGAACACCTCTGTAGAACGCAGATTTTTTTTATTTTGCAACCCCCAACACACACACATTAAACAGGGGAGTAGCAACAGCAATTTTTTGTGCCCACTTTACTTATACTATAGAAAATGTTAATTGAAAGCCTGGTTGCCCCCCCCCCCCCCTCTCCAATTTATAGATTACCGAAAATGTAGTATTACAATAGGTACTGAAAGTAATTGACGCTGAGAAAAAGTTTATCTACTACATCCCCCCTCCACACGAAATGGGACTTTTTGACTTTTGGCAACTTAATCCATCCCCCCCTTTTTTTGGCTTGTTAACTTTTTCAGGTAAGTAGTAATTTTTTTTCTCTGGCTGCCCCCCCCCCCTTTCAAAAACGATGCTACGCCACTGTTAAAATCCCTTGCTACAGACCTTTATCAAACAATAATTAGATTGTAAAATATATTTATTAAATTATCTTGCGAGTCTTGATGCACAAAACTATTGCCGGTGAAAACTTGCTCTACTTTAAAAGTTTTAAAAGCTACATGTATATCTGTTCGTTGAGTGCCGTTTCTCATTCAAGTTGTTAAGTTACATGTATCTATATACTGCAACTTCTTAAAATGTTTGTACCATAGAATCAATGTTTAGTAAAAAAAAAAAGTATGTCTAAAAGAGAAGAAATCAGATCTGCCAATGAATATGTAAATGCGATATGCAGATTTAAAAGCGCGATTTGACAATAAATGGCATATTTTAATTCGAATAGGGCGAATTATTCTACGGGCAAGTTACCTAAGGTGCGAACTCTCAAGCATTTGCGCACATGCGTAGCCTGTCGTTTGCCCAGGGCATCCGGTTTAACTTCGCTTATATATTTAATGCGTGGACCGCACGGTCCACGCAAAAATGCATCTTCAAAAGTCAAGTTTTTTTTCTGAAATTGCATCTCTATACAAACATTGTGAAGAGAAAAGATAGTGCAGAATCATAAACTTGTGAAGATGTATAAGTAACATCAAAAACTTCTACAATATCTTTGAAAGAATCCTGATTGTTCAATATTGTATAGATTCTTAATATATTTATGCACATATCAAAACAAGAGTGCTACAATTTTGAAAATAAAATAAGATGGCAAGTGATAATTTAAATTAACACTGTAAAAATATATTTAAATAAAAATAAATCAAAAAAAGGGTTTGTATTTGCATACTTTTCTTTATGATACAATGTTAAACGTGCTTCTGGACAGCGCAGATAAAATATTATAATGGGCGGTCATAAATAAACTTCTGTAAATCAAGCCTCAGAAAACAAGTACTTGTAGAAAACTGATTTTTTAAATAAAATTAAAAGCAGCCTTTATTTCACCTACAGGTTAACATCATTGTAAACATTGTGTTTTGCTTTAAAGTAAACTTTACGTCAAGTTGATTGAAAACTGTTCAATATTTTGAAAAATGTCAAGAAACCTATGAAAGCGAAGAGGCAACGGAATACAACAGAACGAAGACAAACAGAATAAACCCAAGAGACATTATCCACATTCATCGTTAGTAACTGTTTCTAAATAAATTCAATTTAATTACTTTGTTAAATTTATGGTAAAAATATGCACAGAAGAAAGATAAGGAGTGTGTCATTTCGTAAAAAAAAGTTCTTCTGATTGATTGATCTTAAACAATAACTTTTTATGAATTCGCGAATTGTACACAATCAAATATTATTTTACAATGAAATGTTTATGGCATAATTGTATCTACCATATATATTTACAACACTTTTAAGTATTAAGTTGTTATTATAGTTATTTTAACCTTAGGGTTCATCTGTATCTATTTTAGCTATGTTTGTAGAAGGTCATTCCATTCCTACGACAATACGATATATCCTGGTCAGCTTGTGATAAAAGATACCACAAAGTCTGACACATTTGTTTCATATTTGAATATTTTACTTGAAAAAGACGTTAATGGTAATCTAACAACCAAGCTATATGATAAACGTGATGACTTTAACTTTTCTATCATCACCTTACCTTGCTAATGTATCTTCATCATCTACGTACGGAGTGTATATGTCTAAGTTGATTCGATACGAAAGAGCATGTTCTACGTATGAACAATTTGTAAAACAAGGTCAATTATTGACAAGCAAGTAAATGAAACAAGAATATCAACAGTCTTTTTTTAAAGTCATTATTTCGTATGGTCGTTACAATATATTTGTCATCAAATACAATTTATCATTGAGACAAACACTGACTGAGGTTTTTTAAACTAATTGTTAGTCCATTATTTATATACTGAATTGACGACAAATTTTTCCGTGAATTCCCGATCATGACAAGAAGCAAACGGCGGGAGTGACCATTCCTGTTCAGCAGGGGATGCTTACTTCTTCATGGCACCTGATCCCACCCCTGATGTTTTGGAGGTCCGTGTTTTCTCTGCTCCTATTTTGTATTGTTTTTTGGACTTGATGTTGAATACTGTTCGTTATTTCCATATTCTTCTTCTTACCAAAATATGAACATTTTGTTTGAAAATGGATTTTATGTACGGGGTATATTTCTTATAATTTTATTCATGATGTGATCAAACAATTTGTTTTTTATGAAAATATTCAAAGACACTGAGGGCGTTAACCCATTAAATTATCACTGAAGTTAATTGATTGATTAAAAACGACAAGAAATTAGACAAATATTCTTTATATGTACATGCTAATAATATTTCACAGTCACGTGTCCCAAGCCCAGTCTTTTTCTTTCTATCTGACATCTCATCCTCCTGTCCCGGACCTTAAACTTTTCTTTTCCATGAACCAGTTTTTTTTAAAGTTATATCTCAGAAAAAAAGGACTGATTAACAAGTCTCAAAATGTTTGAATGTGTAGGAGCATTGTAAAATTTGGATCCTTACTTTATTTCTGTGAAATTTTAATAATCATTTTTCAGAAATGTCTCTGAATCTACTTAAAGCATATTTATTAATATTGCAATCGTAATATCCGTTACCGTCATATACCATATTTATTTCAAAAAAATTGTCAGAGTATTCCGGTTTAAATCGTTCTATGTTTTTTTCTTCTCGTCCTTCTTCTATTTTGTGCGATACCACTATCGTTAAAACCTCTACATCTGCAATTAAAAGAAAATTGTACATTATAAGAAAAATGCATTCTCTAAGAGATATATTTAACAACTCGCTGTATGGTTGATAAAGTATGTCACAGGGTTCTCCATCATTTACGATTTTATTGTGTAATGGAGCATACGTGAGGCACTAAAAATTCGCGGTATCTTTGCGATTAGATTCCAAATGAATTATTATTTATAAAAGGTTTAAAAAGTACATGCATGCACATACTTTAAAAAAAAATCGCTAATACGGTTCACAAATGGTATGGTCGTACGTATTTATAAAAGTAAAAACACATGTTCCGAAAAGCAGACGAAATTCTGTTCTATACAATCGAACTACCAAACTATTTTGAAGTAAATTTAACGTGATTGTTTGTCAGTTTTCTTGATCGAATGACCAAATAACCCAACTCCCCCCCCCCCCCAAAAAAAAAAAAAAACAACTTCAGAGTAGTAAAATGCTTAAAACTTAAAAGTTAATTGAACATGTTGAAAATTATAAGTAATTTATTAACATTAATTAGATGACTTAGGGACGATTTAATGTTTGACTTACAGTGCTTAAATAATTCTAGAGCCGTGGCTCTAGAAAAAAAAGCATATATATATATATATATATTTTAAAACTCAACTAGCATTAAAGAAAATAACACAGAGAAACAAATAAAAATGTAAATAGAATAAATCATACCGAAAATTATTTTTTATGTTGTTTTTGGCAAAGAATTATATTTTTTGTGAAGTAAAGCTACGGGATCAAAACGGTTGAGAAGAAAAATAGTGGCAAACTATGCAGTGAATATGTATATAGTAATTATGTATATTAAAAAAAAAACAATAGGCCCATGGGCCACATCGCTCACATGAGAAGCTTTGACCATTCTATTCTTTACCGTATTTCCCTCTTGTAATACATAATGCATCCCCACCCTACCCCATTGATAATAATTTAGATTTTGAAATTTACACTACCCAAGAATCCTTCAATGTGCACATAAGTTTCAACTTTTTCTTGCCCAGTGGTTCTTGAGAAGATTTTCAAAGATTTTTTCCTATATAGTTCTATGTAAAACTTTGATTTTCAACTGTGGCCCTGCCCTTCCCCCGGGGTTCATGATTTGAACAATTTAGAATCTACACTATACCAGGATGCTTCCACGTAAGTTTTTCTGACCCAATGGTTTTTTTAGAAGAAGATTTTCAAAGATTATTGCTATATATTTCTATGTAAAACTTTGATTGTGGCCCCGCCCTTCCCCCGGGGGTCATTATTTGAACAATTTAGTATCTACACAACCCAAGGATGCTTTTACATAAGTTTCAGTTTTTCTGGCCCAGTGGTTCTTGAGAAGAAAATGTTTTAATGACCCCACCTTATTTTTGTCTTTTCTTAATTATCTCATCTTGTGAGGGGACTTGGCCCTTTATTTAAATAATTTAGATTCTTCTTTACCCAAAAATGCTTTGTACCAAGTTTCGTAAAAATTGGTCCAGTGGTTCTTAAGAAGAAGTCGAAAATGTGAAAAGTTTACAGACGGACAGACAGACGGATGGACGACGGACAAAATGTGATCAGAAAAGCTCACTCGAGCCTTCGGCTAAGGTGAGCTAAAAAGTTATACATCATCAAATCAACATATTCACTATATTTTTCTATCACAATATGTGTTTCAACTTTTGCATGAAACAGTAATTGATATTTTTGAAAACGAAATTACCATTGCACGTTTACTAAATGACTGAATCTAAATGAATTAAAATTCATGATATTGAAGAAAAATTTTAAAAATATAATGTAAAGAAATGATCCTCACTTTCAATACTCGATCCTAAACCATCCAGAGTCTTGTTAACTAAGTCACGGGTTCTTTGTTGTACATCAGAAGTCAGGAAAATAAACAAAATTTTCTGATCCAAATTGTCTCTCTCAAGTATCCAATGAAATGAAAAGTCATCTAAACACATTCTCGCAAAATCGTCGAATTCCTCTTTCTGATTCTGTAGATTTCCATTAAAGCAGTACAGATCTTCAAAAAAAAAATAAATAAAGCTTACATTAACATTTTTATTGTAATCAATATGTGTCCTACCTGAATGAGTCTAAAATATTGTATAGCAATGTATTACAAGTTTATTGGTTTCATGTCTTAAGAGAGGCAGAGATGGACCAATCAAAATCTAACTATTTAAATTCCACCACGTGGTGTGTCACTGTGCCTCTTCTCCTACATACTCTTTATTGTCCTATTAAAATATAATCAGTGATGTCTTTTTTCACCGAGTAGCTTCAAATCAAATGGTCCTTCGCATTACTCAAATTAATGGTTGTCACATGCAAAAATTACCATGTGTAAATTGTGAAATATTTGTATACTGTGCTACAAAAGCAATGTATGGAAAAAGAGAAGAGGATGAAAGGGGCTTGATCAGTTAGATTATCCCAATTGTAGAAAATGTCAATTAACACCATTCTATCGATCAAAAAAATGAAATACATTACCAGGTCTAGTGATATTTTTTTTCATCTTATTCAAAAGACCAATCACAATCTATTTGAAATATAGATTTATGTATATTCTGCTTAATTGATATGCATTATAAATATCTGTGTGACAAAAATGGTTTATGCTAACTAAACTGTCATTATATAAATACTATATTTACCAATACCATCTATTTCTTGGATGTTTTAAAGACAATAATATAAGAGATGATTTAGAAAATATGATCCAATCAGGGTAGAAAGCTATTACGTCCATACGAGCTGTATTGAAGTCATAATTTTTGGATCCTACATCTGTATATAAATCCTTTTTTTTCCCTAACAACTGTTATTTTAACATACATGTTAAGTAAACTAAAACTAAGTAAAGGATTAAGAAAGCACATTTAAAGATTAATTTTAAATATTATTCGAAAACGCATTTTGCCCGGGAATATAGGCAATAAATGTTTTGTAATACATTTCATTTTATTTTTTTTTTTTACATACATACACATGTATGTATTTCATACTTTCTTTTGTAACGTAACCATAGGTTCGTCAATTTTGAACAATAAGGAATAAAAATGAAAAACTAAAAATAAAAACTGCCCATTCTGCGGCGTAAGCGGTCGTACACCATCTCATCGACAGGTCCAACATCTCACTCAGTGGTCCAACATTGACTTTTTACGCCCTATCAGCAAAACATTCGAAATGTTAGACCTTTTTCCCGTTTATATTTGTATAGAAACTAATTTTCAGAAGTAAAACAAATTATTATATTGTTATCCGGAAATATTGTCCAAGAAAACAAAGTGACATGCAGTGAAAAAAAAATTCAGCAAGAATTCTTGTCCTTGTTTTTTTTTTATTCTTTGGGAGTGGATTTTCATGTATCCATGCTAGTTTTGGGTTGTTTTACTATTTACTTTAGAACAAATAAACACACATATTCATTTAATATTTTGATGTTTTACTGACTCTGGAAGAAAAGTGACAAATACATGTAACAAGACATAGTGCTATATATATTACATAGCTGCACCATTATCAATGTAGATATTTATATACGTAGACTGTTTATGTTCATCTCATTTTTCATAAGGTATATTTACGGTTCTTGGTTTCATTTGGAACATGGTAGAATATATGTTTATTCCCACGGGTTCATATATGTGGAACTATTGTTCAAATGTTTCAAAAGGACAAGCGCAGAAAATATGTTTATATCTGCTGATTTACAATTACTTTTAATTTTTACAGATACTTGTATAACTGCATTTTGCCCTTTTTGCTTCCTATTTCTTTGGGTCTGAACTTGATTAAATGATTTAAATATTAATGATTTCTCGACCAAATATTAAGTATTTTCTTTAAATAAAGTCACATTAGTGGCAAAGTACAATATATTTAAGTCTTTTGTTTTTTTTTCTGAAAAGGGAGGGTGAAGGCGGTTTTTCTAAATCCTTCGATAAAACAATAACTATAAATGGGATCATTACAATAAACGGAAATTTTAAAAATGAGAAGTTCCACTCATTAGTCATTTTATCAAAATGAATTAGCATTGGCAATTGTATATAGATAATGCTTTTGTCTAACAGCTTACTCTAAAAAATTGTTCTGTACACAATCCATTCAATCCATGCTTACATGTGATTAACTGATAAATATATATTACTGGAATTTCAAGAATATCCTTTAAAATCTAAATTCCGTAAAATTCCCTGACGTTATAAAGATTTTTCCATTGCAAATATAGCCTTTAATTTGGTTATGTTTTTGCTGAGTTGATTAACAATTGACTAGGTAACATTCCATCGATCTGATTAAATGACAAACCTCAAGGTGATTGTGGCCAGTCGATAGGTGTTGCTTATTTCTCCTTTGTACCTATAACCACCTCTCGAATTTACAGTTTCTATATTTTATGAGCTCTAAACTCATTCATATTCTAATACGTTTTTTAACGATTTATTATTGGTCGTTATTTTTAGCTTTTAATACGTCCATTTAACTCACCTTTTTTTGAGGTAGATGGTTTTGAAGAAATCTTGCTGCAATTTTCATCCTCCTCAATTTTTTTCCTTTTTCTACCTAAAATTTCAAAAATGAAAGGTGAATAAATGCTTGTTTTCCATATTATTAACGAATTTGATGTGTGAGAAATTAATTTTGTAAAAACGTTTTCCAACTAAACTAAGCAATATATTTTTTTCAAAATGAAGTCCTAAAGAAAACTCACATTTCCAACATACACAGCATGAAGAGGAAGGAACAATTCTAATTTCTGAAATGTCTTGATCATTAATGCTCACACTTTGTATTTGTTCTAAAACACAGATATTTAATTTTGGATTTTTGTAATTTTTTTTAAACATCATCTTGACAAAAACAATAACTTATTATGCGTATAATTAATCAAATAAATCTACTCTTTATCTCTATTAATTTTACAGCAGATGGACAGTTTAAAAGTCAAAAAAGTTTACATTCCCCTTTATCAGTATGTCATTTAATGATGTCTTTGCAAAATAATTTATTTTCAAGTAAGTGAAGTCAATTTTACAAACCTAAAATGTTTTAATACTAAATATGATGACTTTGAAAATCTCAGAATTTTAAGGATGTTCAAAAATACAGTACAATCATATAAAACGTACCTGTTCTTGAGCAGCATGGACTACAGTAACAACCACAAGTTTCTGTTTTTTCTTGAGATTCTGGGTTTTCGTTTTTACTTCCTGAAAACCAATTTTACTTTCGATGAAAACATATATACACACAGTAATTATAGTTCTAAATGTTTTAGGTATGCTTCGCAAACGTTAAGCTTATTACTAGATTAACTTTCTGTTTTCAATCAAATCTGAATTAGTCAGATATTATTCGTCATCTTCCAGTTCATAGTGTTCATACAAATTATTTACATTTTCGGTGATGATGATGCCAAGAATACAGTAAAGTTTTTGTGAAATCGATTTTTTGTGATTTTTAAGCTCAAGTCAACCAGATGAAATAAACGCTATATTTAATGGATTAAATATACATATGCACAAGTTATACTGTGGGGAGAGGAAAAAGTACATATAACATGACTGATAGAAAATTCACAAAAGAACTTGGAATGTATACCTCTCTCTCTCTCTCTCTCTCTCTCTCTCTCTCTGAAGGAATGTTCATAATTTTCTGCTTAATAGCTTGAAATGCATAAAACCATGTAACAAATTTCACAATATGAATAGAGAAACACTTTGGAATATAAATACCCAAAGAAAGTATAACTAAGTAAACGGTCAATGCTGTGTTGCTATGTTGATAATTCGTTGCTTGTGTTTAGTTTTTAATAAACAATTGAGTACTGTAGAGTAATTACATTTCATAGTGGTTCAATATTCATGGAATTTCAATGATTACATCCTCCAAATTCTACTACTTTAGGGTTGAAAGCTATCTCCCCTTTCAAGATATCAGAAAATGCACGAAATTAGCTCACCCCCTCAAACGGAAAAACTAAAGAATTCCACAAAAATTGGCTAACACAAATTTTGATGATTCAACAGTATTCTTAAGTGTTCGTTATTACTTTGCAATGTCTTGTAAACTTGTAAATTTTGTAAAATTCAAGAAATTCCATTAACAATCCACATATATTATTTGAAGTTAAATGTGAGAGGAGGAGTGAAAGGATGCTCACGCGAGCTTAAAGTTGACCCCCTTACCAGTAATTTCCAGATTAGAGAGGTTGAGATTTCAAATGTGTACGTGTACGGGTACGTCTAGAAGGGGAAAAACCTAATTTCTGTGTGTATTACGTCATCAATTTTAGTGACGACAAGATTGCTACACGTTCGTAAAACGTGTAGAATGGAATCTACACGTAGGTGAAAACGTGTAGCTTTAATAATAAAAATTAGCCAATTGAAGTGTGAAAATGTGATTGTTATACATTATATAGGATGTTTACTTTTACGAGCACTTATTTTTATCAAGTTTTGTTTACTAACTGACGACAAAAAATCTTCGAAGTAGTTGAAAAAGAGACACGATCGCAATGTACACGTACATGTTACACGTCATAAAAATCTCAACAGAAAAAAAAAACGTGTACGTGTACGTCAAAATACATACAAGTACACGTACGCGTACAAGTTTAAGATCTCAACCTCTCTAATTATACAATGTAGTCTTAACTTTTAAATAAATTAATGATAGGGCTTTCATATGTCACACATGTATTCAATGTTATATGACCTTTCATTAGGTATATATTTGACATTGACCTTAGAGTTTATCTCACATTAAAAAAAACACTAACCTTGACTTTTGAAGCATTAGTACTAAGGTTTTCATATTTCAATAGTACAGTATATTCCTTACGTAAAAACCTTTTTGGGGATACCAACAACTTTTAATCTTTTGAAGTTAACCATACATAGAGTTTGACCCACTTAAATACACTGTAGCTTTAACCTTTATAATTAGTTTTGAACTGTTTGTACTAATGCTTTTATATTCACAGGTGCATTTTTGTGAGAAAAACTTCCTTTTGATACGAACAAATTTGACCTCTTGATCCTAACCTTGGAGTTTAATTAGTATTCAACAATAGCAATACGCTGCTATACGGGGACATCAGTGTTTTGCAAACACAACCTCTAATGTTTCTGTTTGTTGAGGAGAAAAGACAGTTTTTATTCTTTTAAATTTTGTTCGATAAATGTTTTTATAAGACACGCATGAGGGTTGTCCCATAAAGCTCGTGGACAACATTAATAATTTCTATATAACAAACATTCATAAAATATTAAAAACTTATTTTAATTACAAATAATTTTTACTACACCATCTCATTTTCTTTATTTGAATGTGTTAAGATTCCTATGCTGGTTTTGACAATTATACAGGTGGTTTAACATATCGATTATAATGGATTAAAAAAAGATGGAAATTATTTTCTTAGAACTTTACAATATCATTAACACAACACTTTAATCAAAAGGATCTGAAAAGGAAGAGATGCAATGGGACGAAGACCATTTTTAATATCAAAACTTTAATCTAGACTCCACTTGAAAAGTGTTGAAAATTAAAAAACCCTTAAAATTGAAGAAAGGTATTAAACATATTTTCATTCAACAAAATTTAGATTATAGTTTCTTTTTAGGTACTTGAATCATCAACAATTCTGAAACCAATAAATATTTGATGAGTTGCATTGAGATAACGAACATTCTCAAAGTCCATAAAACAATACAAAATAAGAGCAAAGCAAACACGGACCTCCCAAACATCAGAGGTGGGATCAGGTGCCATGCAGGAGTAAGCATTCCCTGCCGACCATCATAAAAAATATATAATAGCAATAACCAGTGTATACAATTGTGCAGTAATATCGACCAGGTTGCGAAATATATGTTACAAATGCAAATTTTCAACGTACCATTAGAACAATGTTGCATTAGGCATAGAATTATTAAGTAGATGAGAAGAAAAATTAGAAATCCAATCAAAGAGCGGCACCATATATCCTCCAAACTAGATGGTGTTTTACCTGTAAAATTTTAATTACAGATGAAAGAAAAAGGTGCAGTTGTCATTCAAATGTGGCCCTGTGTTCTAAAATATAATGGAATTGATGTAAGTAATTGAAATTCAATGTTTCAGAACCATTAAAATTCCATGCAATAAAAACCTAGAAATTGCTTTTCTGATAAGACCTCCTGAATGGAAAATGTAACAGGATAAACTAATAATTTTCCCTTATTTTCTTAAAATGTCCAGGAAGACATCAATTTTCAGTGGAATTTTCTTTAAGAAAAGATACAGCACATGTATCGCATACAAACATTTTCATATATGTAATTTTTCAAAACATTTTACACGTTATATTCAAAAACTGAAGTTTCAACGGGAAAATAACCACAAAAATTTGTCATTTTTGATGCTTTTCTGAAAAAAAACTTAGAAAAAGTACCATATTAATGACGCATGATACATACAGTATTCTATAATGATTTTGCATTTTCATCTATTCAAATCATGTGCATATAGGAAACACCCATCAGCCACGCAAATTATAAGACCCGGCAAAGTGCTGTAATTGTTCTTATTTCTTTTTGATTTTGACATCGTTTTGAATAACTTAATTTTTTTCGGGATCGAAATTCCGAGGGCTGACATATCAAGGAAATAATTATAAATCTACGTCAAATTAACTGTTGAAATTTGAAAATGTATCAATGATCTCCATAGTATTACTGTATTGATGTATCAATCGCCGCCCAAACAACAATGATCGATTCCGCAATTCAATTACTGTACTGCAATATACAAGGGGTGGGGCTTACTGGCGGCGCCCATCACTGTTAAGGCTTTCTATGAGAAATCAACGGAAAATAGACCTGCAAAAAAGGGGGTTTTTTTTAACTGAATTTATTTTAATTAAGCTGTTTTATTATCACAGAACTTTAATACTTATGTAAAAAGCATAGTTTAACCCAATCTGTACTGTATTTAGTTAAGTCCCATCGATGGACAGTCACGTGATGAATGCATAGTTATTGTACTGAATGTAGGTAATTAACAAATTTCATTATCGCAAGAGCAGACCCTAGTTGAAATTAAAATTCAAGGTATTAATTGTTTCTGCATTCTTTGTAGTTTCTGAAAAGTGCTGCTGCTTCGAATAGAATTCGCTATTTAATAGTTAATTTTTTAAGTAAATAGGCCAATATCAAAATATGTTTGACTTTTACCAAATATTTTGTGTACAAGTTTATAAAATCACGCCTTCGTTTTAAAGAAAGCAGTAACACTTTTCAAGTTAATAAAAATATCCTTTATCTATATTCAAAAAAATGGTTCAGATCTATGCAGTGTATGCTCGATGTAAAATAGACATAGCCTGTAAATAAAAATACGACATAATTAATAAAATACATTGTCTTGATAGTTGATTAATTATCGCACATAACAAGGGATATACATTGGTATTAATCGACTATTTAAAACATGTAAATAATATTCCGTTTAATAATAAATCGCATTTTTCATTGTTAAAACAGTCTCAATCTGCCTCTCACAGCACACGAAATACGTCATTTTTACCAATATGACGTCATGTTTACAAGTTCATCGCCATCAGAGGTTTATTTATAACCAGCTACATGGGATTTACCTAGCTACTTTTTAATGCATTGCTAAGTTAAACTGTTGTCTATTATGCTAATGCAATTAAAAGTTGCAAATTATTTCATTTTCAGGTATTATGAGTAATACATAAAAGTCATAGTTTTGTGTGACGTCACAGTAAACTTTTCCCGTTTAAATGCCCCGTCCCCTTTTTTCAAGCCATAACAATATAAGACTTACCTGACATACTTTGGATCTTCATACATTTGCTCCCTATGCATACAAAGAAGAATATAAAATAGAATGATGCACTTTATGTAGTAGTTGAAGAAGTTTCCATTCTCGTGAGCAAACGCATGTACCAACTGAAAACTGGAGTTTCAATGTTAATCAATTCATCACCATTTTATTTTTCAAAAAGGGGAAAACCCCTAAATATTGTGTTTTATCGTCGTATATTTCATCAGATACAAAAGGTGTATGTGTAATAGTAAATTGTATACATTGTGCAATGTAAGGATAAAGATGTTCATTTACATGTATGACATGGGACCCAGGACAGAAATACCCCCAGCAACTATAATGGAATTACCTACAATTTACAGTGTGAAATGAAGAGTTTTAGAATTTTTTCGATCACAGTCAGCATAAAAACCTTTAAGAAACATTGAATTTGGACTAATGAGAATGATAAAACAGTGTTTAACTTCAATTTGTCCCTGAGTAAGGAATCATTTGTAATTCTATCTGAAAAATCCTCGTACATACATGTAATATCTCTGACCATGTCACGTAACATTAAGTATTCTGAATTCTTGTACCCTGGCAACATACCTAAACTTTTCATGTTATCGATTTTTTTTTTCATTTATACAGAGGTTGTTTGGAAAGTTTTGTGGGCTTTTGTCATATTTTAGGTCACTTGGGTAAACTTAGGGACCTCTTGCTATCCGTTTTCGTCTGTTGTCGTGCGTCGTTCCTCGTGATACAAACATTTGAACATTTTCAGATTCTTCTCTGCCACCGCTCATCCAATTTCAACCAACTTTGGTATTAAGTATATAACCATAGCTGAGTTATGGGTAATCTATTATGGAACAAGAAATTGTAAATTTTATGGTCCCCTGGGCGGGGGGGGGGGGGTCTGTGTGGTTTTGCTAAAACCACTTAAATTAATGTAATCTTTAATTATCTTCTTACTCCTGGACACAAAACAGTGAGACTGTTTTCATGATTCTAACTATCATTAAGTCCTCTACCAAACTTGTAAAATTCATGGATCCAGGGTCAGGGGTTCAAGTGCTATGGCGGTGCTATATTAGTTATATATTGATAATACATTATTTATTTGAAAATCCTCATCTCTGCTCCTGGGTATTTAATAAATAAATCACATGCATTGTTACACTGAATAAAGCTGCTTCTTACAAAATTGTGAATTTCAGGGCCCAAGTGTCAGGGGTTCTGGTGTTAGGGATTGGATTTATTAAGTATATACTTAAAATGCACATTTTTTTGAAAATCTTCTCTCTCCTGAGTATTAAACAATCTAACCAAGTATATAATTATGATGATTGTTTTTATATAACGTTACATGTTATCCAAACTTGATAGAAATATCTAATAAATAAACTCAAATAATTTGTATAAATGACTTTTTAAAATATCATGATTTATTTTAAACTTAAATCGATTTTAAAACTGTACAAATCAGATCACAGCACAGGTAAATATTTAAATATGAATATTTTATAATTATACGAAACAATACTCAAAAAATGTCTTATAAATCATCTTGAAGAACTGGAACATAGGTTGTGCTGATCTTGTGACAGCACTTAATTAATCAGGTATATAAATTTAAAACATTGACAAAGGAACTTATACAACGATATCGATTGTTAGGGACATTAATAATGTCGAGTGATAGAAAAGAGATTTTTGTGAAAGGTTAATAGTGAAGGAATATTTGACTTTACTGTGTGAGATGTAAAGGAATGGTATTTCTGAGAAATTTTTGACGCTATGTTTTGACATTACATTGCCGTTAAGTGTGCTCCATGGTTACAAGGCATGTACATTTTAAGATGAAATAAATTTATTTCTATTAGATCGAATATTGTAAAACATCAAACAGCAAAACAGATATTGTTATCCATGAAATTGTGCGTATTTAAAATTTCATGAAAGAACATTTAACGAAGATTGACTTTGTTCAGAAATTATTTATCAAACCTTGTATCTTATACGAGCTACCTACAAACGTGTGTCGTATACCAATAAAACTTTTGAAATCCAAGAACGATTGCATTCAAAAATTTAAAGCACTCCACATTTTAGTTATTTTTCGGACGGAAAGTTTCGAAACCAGATTACATATCTATGTGGTATCGTTGATTAAATTGATTGTTCATCTAAAGGATAATCCTAGTTAAAAATATGTCAATTGTTTTGAAAGAATACAATGCTTTGATCCAATTTTGGCTGCATATTCAAAGTAAAAAATGAACGTCTATTCAAATGTAATGGAACATTTGTAATGTGATGTAAAACAAAATAAAAACAACAAATCATCCATTTCAATTTTGAAATACAGGATGCTACCAATTACAGTTTGAAAGATATTACAGTTAATGATTGAAATGTGAAAGGAGTCTGAAGAAGAAATTTATGTGACACAAGGACTGGGATACTAATATGCCCAAATCGTGTTAGCAGTTGTTGAGATAAAAAGTAAAGTTAGCCTCCCTCTGGATGTCATGCTCACTCCTCCATGGCACCTGATCCCACCTGATGTTTCGGAGGTCTGTGTTTGCTCTGCTCTTAATTTTGTATGTTGTTTAATGGACGTTTAGATTGAATACTGTTCGTTATTTCCATATCCATCTTCTATGCTAATACATGTTCCATTACAGAGCTATGGTTGTATACTTTACTATACCCCATATTCGTATATTTTCTAGATTGTAAAATTTCATACATTTATAAAAGATGCATAAATTACTTACCACTTGGTGCGTAATCTAACATTGGAGCACTTAAAATGTGATTTTGTTGGACTTTGTTATCGACGTCAAGTTATCAGTTTCAGGTTATCAGTTTGTATACACTTTATATGTCCTTATTTTTATAAACTGGTGGATTCCCCGTCAAATGATAAAAGGTAATAGTTTATGCATTTTATAATATTTCATCTTAAAATTAATTGATAAAATAAGTTTCGCATTTAAAATTTTAACAAATATTATGAAAATCGAATGGGTAATCGTGATATTTTGTATTATGTTTGTTGAGTGGTTTTTTTTTTTAAAAAATAGCAAACGATAGTTAGAGATTCCTTATCAATCTTTATCTAAATACGAGATTATCAAATGAAAACTTCACTAACTGCGTAGTAAAGTATTCGGGGCATATTTTAACTCTACAGAGAGTCTTCTTTATGATTTTAAGGAGATGGAAACGATTTTATTATTAATTTAAATTCCAGTTAAACATTGCTAACATTTGTATACGTGCATTTGAAAGTCAGCTGTATAAAGATTGCCTCAATCAGTTTTTCAACTCCTTTGAGAGACTAAAAATATTCTATACAACTTTATCCAAAACTATGTTGTTTTGTCTGAAAATGTCAAAAGTTTTCGATATTTTTTGTGTTTAACCTATTACAAAGGATCAGGGCCTTGAGCTGAAAAAAAACCGATCAATGTATTTTTTCGTATCTTTGATTTATTATGTACTTAACATTTTTAAACGATCCTGTCATTGGGTTTCTTGCCTTAAAAAAGATTTCGCCTCACAAAAATCGTCCTTAATAATGTTTGTATGAAGTATCGATACCTGATGTTTACGGGTCCATTACGGAGTCCACAATGCGCACAAAAGAAAAATATGTTAGATAACACTATATACACAAATAATGCAGGGCATTCATTGTGTTTATAGTATCTAAAAGCATTTGTTTTAATTTCATATTGTCTTGAGAATGGATCAATTTTGCTTTTTTTATGGCAGGTGCAAAGACAAAACCTTAATTTGAAAAAAAAAATCTGCCAATAGATATTGCTAAATTTACGATTTAATGTTAGTCTTTCATCGTTATAATTAGCTGTATAAATATCGCAGGGTGGGTGAAGCCTACCTCAATATCGCACAGGGCATCGTTGCATCAGATGTAAGCATGGAACAAACGCTTCACATCTACATTATCCGAGTGCAGGGAATCAAATGTGACCTCAAACGAAAACATAGACACGCAAAATTATCTAAATACAGAGCATCTCTGTTATCAAGCACGAAATAATATTAATTGAACATATCAGCTACAGAAATTTACCACGATGCATTGAATTTAAATTGTTCATTATGAAATGAAACTGATCATGACGAGTGTAGCTAATTATATATAATGTGTGCATGATGTCGCTGCATTGGGAATTCAAAAATGCGTCACTGACGTTATAGACTGCAGGGTAAAAAGAAACGGATATGTGGATTTGGCGAGATTTTTAAAAACTCTTAATTTGTTTATTATCAATGTTTAAACAAAACATTTTTGGAATAGAATTTCACAAGACCTGTTGTTGTAAACAAAGTTTTAAATTTACATCAGCAGCGACTATAACGTAATCTGTCTTTTGAGTCATGTGATATGTTTCCTGTCTCTCCTTAAGTGATTTATACTTATATACGTCAATTTACTGTGTGCCGTCTCAATCTGTAGAAGCATGTAGCAACATGTGCATTTTGTATATTAAGTAGATATGGTTTTTGCTACCCATTTTGATCAAAATGAAATTCAATTTTTTTTCCTATTGTTGCATGGTAGATCTGTTTTTCTATGTTTCCCTCTCAAATACTATAATTATGGTAAGCATGTAAAGTATAAAAAGAACGGATATTGATTGACTTAAAAAAATAAAAATTAATTACGAAGTTAACGAACATTGGTCGTTTTTAACTAAGTTAATACCAATCTCAGAAGAAGGCATCAAACAGGAACCCTTTGAAATCGGGTGACTAGGAGTAGTAATCATCCCCTTTCGACCGGCTGCATTCGTCGAGAGCCTGGTGAATTGATCGAGGCTACATTGACTAGTAAGATTTGAAATAAAAAAAAAGAAATGCCTCGAGTATACTCTATAACAAGTCAGGCAACAAACATGTACCGGCGTCACGATGATAAGTTATATTTCCTAATTAGGTCATTTCGCCGTACTTACAACGTATTTGTGGATCATATTTTTCAATCAGGAGTTAAACTTTTTTTTTCAAAACCATCTATATTGGGATGCATTGTGATAATATGGAAGCATTGTTATAAGGAA